CGGTCAGCTGGTTGCCAGCACGTCTTTCGAGTTCAACTTCGCTTCAGGATGTCGTTGTGGATTCGTCCGGCTTCGCTTTTTCCACGATTCGTCGAGGAAGCCATGCGAGACTTCCGCCATATGGAACGAATGATGTTCGCTCCGCTTAGTCGAGTGATTCCATGTGAAACAGTTTCGGAGGCATCAACAACGGAGGTACGTCCAGCTCATTTTGGCTAATTGCTATTTTATTTCATTTCATTTTCTTTTTTCTCAATCGTGTTTTGTTAAAAATATTGTTTTGGCCCGAATTTCCATTTTTGCATGTTCGTTACTGCTCTGAAATTCATCGATTGGCTTGTTTGCTGTGAAACTGGGTCCCCTCCTTGGTAGGCGTTGACGTCATCTGTAGTGGCCTGATTACGACTTTGACAGCTTTTTTGGGCGCTAGTGTGAGAATGAATATCATTGTCTTAGTCAATTAACGGATAGAGGGCGGAAGTGTAGTGGCAAGTGGCGCGCTTACCACGCGAGCGGTCCGGGGATCAAATCCTGGGTCGTGAGTCGCCCGGGCCAACCAAGCCTTCCATCCCTCCGGGGTCGGTTAATTGGTACCAGACTTGTCTGGGAGGATAAAAACACTGACTTGTACATCGGCTCAGTCCCGTAAGTCATTGTATAGTCGAAATCGCTTCATGCCACCAGGGTTCTGAATGGAAGTGGAATGCATGGCGCACCCCTAATTTGAACTTATCAACGCTGATGCTTTATACTTTCGGTAGTCAAGGTACTGGTATAGTATCTTGACTACCGAAAGTATAGTGGTACCCTAACTTTCATTGTAAGGAATGAATGATAAAGCATCCAAAGTTTTGGGGTGCGCCATGCCTTCGTTTTGGTTCAGAATTGTGTCATTTTGATGTGATTTAATTTTTGATGTGCTAATTCTTCTTGACCTAACATTTATAAGTTCTATAATGTCAAGGATTTATTAGGTTTTTTATTTTCATGTTATTATTTTTCATATTGTTTCTTATAAGTTTTTTTTTTTTTGTACGGAGTGTTTTGTTCTAAGCAGGTTCTTACGGAGTGTTTTGTTCTAAGCAGTTCTAAATTTTCAGATGATCAACAATGAGTCCAAATTTGCGGTGACGATCGATGTGTCAAAGTTCAAGCCAGAGAACCTGAAAGTTAATATCGATGGACGACAGTTGACCATTGAAGGAAAGGAGGAGAAGAATGAGGACAGCAGTTATTCTATGAGGTAAGCTCTATAAAAATTGTCTTCAATCAGTTGTGTAGGAAGTTTTAACATTGCTAGACGCCATTGCAGGATACGGGGGTTTGGGGGGGGGGGCAGTAGGACTAAGCCCAGCAGGAGGGACAGGAGCACTAGAGAAGGAAAATTACTCACGCGCTTCGGATTCTCTCTTCCCCTGCCTAAGGCTCAATTCTTTTTTTAGATGGAGATGTTTTACGTTGTTCATAATGGGCTGCCTCTGTAGTGCCCTCGTAGGTGAAACTCCAGTTCGGGGGGGCCACTCCATTTTTTCTCCAATACTCAAGATAAGGATTAGAGGGCTCACGACACGTAATCGACTCATTTAAAGTAGACTTCTGATAAATATTGGTGTAATGGGTGAGAAACCCTGAAACGTTTTCACATTTCCGCCTGCCATGACCCAAGGGAACGGTCCTGGACCAGGAGAAAGGACACCTCCGCAAAGGGCTAAGGGTGCAGGAGCTCCAGGGTGGATCACCTGTGCAGAAAAGTGGATGGGATGTGGGCAGGTAGTGTGGAATGTAGGACATCCACCGGTCCTTATCAAAAGTACGCTCGAAATGAGTCGTTCACTTATTATCTTATCCGTAGTGTTCGATAGCCCAAAGAACTGCTCTCTAGTACTACGGATAAGATAGCAATGGAGTGCCCCCCCCCCGAACTGGAGTTTCACCGCCCTCGTATTCTGCGATATCGCCATTGCTATCTGGGTGTTGTTTGGGAAGAATTTTTAAGCTACTGTTTAATGTTATGGGTTTTTCAGGTCTTTTGTTCGCCAATGGGTGCTCCCAGAGAACGTTGATCTGGAAGCCATTAAGTCTTCTCTGTCCGATAGTGGCCATCTTTCCATTGAAGCACCGAAGCTGGCCAAGGCGACTGAGTCCGGACGAAGCATTCCTATCGAACGAGTCAGTGAGAAGAAGTGAACTATTTTTTCAGAGGTTTTCTGAATCTGACTTTTGTGTACTCAATCTGAACTGTATGTATTGTAAGATTGTCACCCTCATGTAGATAGTCGATTGTTATGAACATCTTGTAGCCACTGTTCCAGCTATGTCCATATTTTTTGCATTTGGCGCGTCAATAAAGTTTTGACTAGGCTAATTCTCTTTAATGGTTTATGATCAAACTGGTTTTTTTGGGAATTAAGTCTACGCTACGCTTTTATGCCCTCTTGGGCAATACGGCCTGGGAATTATGGAATATCAAATTCCTTACAGACCACTGATTATCGCGGTTACGCAACTTTAAGAACGGTAACGAGCAAAACAAGTGAGCCCAGCTCGACTTGCGCTTCTCAACAGAATATTATACGTTGGACCAGAAATTTTAAGCACATAGAAGATGGAGATAAAAGTACTAAGCTTCCGACTCAAGTCAGGCCTTTTTGGGATGCGTCACGCATTCTGATTTCATCCAGAATGAAGTGTATGTATGTATGTATGTATGTATGTATGTATGTATGTATGTATGTATGTATGTATGTATGTATGTATGTATGTATGTATGTATGTATGTATGTATGTATGTATGTATGTATGACCTATACAGTAACCAGCATGAGGGAGCAGCTGATGCATAAATCAGTGTTTTTGTGATATGATCCTAAGAGTTCACGAGGTCGGTTAGTGACAGGCTCGTCTAACGGACAGGAAGCGAAGTTTCAGTTGTCCTCAACGTTTACGATCCTAACCTTTCATCCCAGACAGTGAGCTCTTCGAATACATAAGGTAAGATAGATTGTTTAGGTTCCATTTCGAGCCAGTTGAAGTGAAATAGAATGATGCCGAAGAAATTATTCGAGGGGTACTAGCCACCAGCCGACAATTGCAAGCTCTAAGGAATATTTCTAAAAAGAGCGTTTCAGAGGCTGGCGAGGGTTGTCCGTTATACAATGGTTCAGTGATCGCTGCCTCCTTGTGACGCGTATGACATAGTACCTACAATACGAATATTTTGACTCAAGTGATCCTGAACTACTGTAATAATCACAGCTCTGAGAGCGCGTTCAAGAAGGTCTGCCAGCTGTAACACTGCAAAGAAGGTGCACTCATCTTTATCAGCCGATCTTAGCGCAAAGCGCGAACAAACCCTGTCTGCATCTAATGGATTTCTATTCATGAAATTCTAACAGAAAGCTTGTTCTTTTGGCATGCAAATGGCAGTGCGCTCGTTCAAATGGGTCATTTTAGCCTCACCCTGCTCTCGTTATATCACTTAGTTGTTGATTATCTTAAATGTTGGGTGCGGAAGCCGTCAGTGCGCTCACCTTCGAGGATCGGGTCCCGTCCAGGTTAACCAAGCCTTATATCTCTACGGAGTCTCTTCATCGATACCGTACATCTCTAGAAGAGTAAAAGCATAGCTCTGCATCTCTGCTGACTACCTCAATCTAGATTAAATCGTTATCATGTGCCAGTACGAATTTGAAACTGGGCGGAATACATGGCGCATTCCACGTCGTGTCGATCAGCGAGTGTTTTTGCTTAGCTCTCAGGGCTACAACTGCTCTGAAAATTCCTGCCTGCAAAGCGGTTATTTCCTTGAGGCTGAGCCCAAAAGAACGAGAGGAAGTAAAACGAACCACTATTGAGATTCTGGAAACGCTTGTAAACCTTTCTCGGCCCATTATGCGACTATTGCTGGAATGCAGTGCTTTCCACCGCCTATATAATTCTCCGAACTCGAGAAGCTGAGATAACACCCGCTCGTAAAACAACATCATTCTAGACCTATCCTGAAAGACTGTGGTGCACTGTTCCAAAGTAAAACACCTTAGTTTAAATTTCCAGGTTTAGCTGTATCGGGGTTGAGGCCAACAATAATTAGTGACTTAACGGTCATCTCCTGTTACTCTAGACATACTTGATAGCTTACTAAAAAATACAGTGAGAGTAGCCGTCCTACATTGCTTGTATTAGAGAAAGGCTTGCTGATCAGAGTTGACCATTGCGGTTGAATATCACGTATCGGGCTCGTGGGACCACGCCTCTTTTTGGCGCGCCCAACTCTTGCTCAACATTGGGCAAAATTCTCCCTGAAACAGTTTTCCTATCAAAGTTTTGACCTTAGTAATATACAAAATTTAACTGCAGGTTCAAACTTTCCTATTATACATTGTTGGAAAGAGAACTGAAACGTTGGAAGGAGAACTGGGACTTCAAAGGGAAGGAGGGTAAAAACTCGAGAAGACTATTTGTACAATGGAATTTTTGAGCAAATTTAAACCTTTCCTTGTATTTGAAGACTCTGAGAAGACGGAGAAGGCTGGCCGCTAACTAATTTTCAGGGTAATAGTACAAAATCCCAGATAATATGCTGTCGAACTAATTGCCACAAAATTTTGTGCAATTAAGCTCCTATCAAACACTTCTGCTAACGGTACTACACATAGATATAATGAAGCTTGCCAATACTTACTATAATGTCAAAAAAACTTCTGAATGCGCAAAGAAAGAAGGTATAGATGGGTACCATGCCTCCCTTGGTGGATAGGGTTACCCACCGGTGGGTGCCATTGCGCCCAAAGGATTAATCGGCTTATAATCGCATCATCGAGAGCTTAACACTGTAATTCAACCTTATAGTAAACAAACCACTCTGGAGGACGACTTTTAATGTAACTCAAGAGGGCATAATGGTCCAAGCAGTGGAAGAAATTCATAAGCACTTATAAGCATGTATACCGTACCATCAATAGTGCTTCAAGCCTTTCGCCTTGTTTCCATTTTCTTTTTACATACTCATTAGCTGCAAGGAACTCTCAGTTTATTTTCATCCGAAAATTCTGAGCACGGCCCGGGATCAAAGCCCTAATCGGATCTCACCCAGCCTACGATTCATCCGTCTCCCAAGGCCGGTAATTGATCTCGTGTTGATATATAAAACTTGGTCTCGAGTGGTTTCTACAAATCACTACATTTGAGAAAATCCCATCCAAATATATTGACATTCTAAATGGAAGTAGAACTAGTGGCGCTTCCAAAATCGGATCGATCAACGACGAGAGCTCTCTTCTTTGGCTGTTCATATATCGATTTTAATTGATAAATTCGTGGACTGAATCATAAGCAGAAAAGGGGAGAATGAATGTGAAAGGAGCAGAAGATTTGTTGCTCCTGTCAAACTCCAGCGAGCGCAACGCTATCAGCGGTTGGCAAATTGCCAAGCGATCGTGGCCGCACTTGTGTGGAGCGAGAGTGCTGGAGTGAGACTGCAGCGCTTACAATCCTCACAGTGAGTTATTCCTCATAACTCGCTACCTAATTTATTGCTGATTCTTTTGCAGTAATTCTTCAATCAGGAATATTCCTAATTCTGTTATATTCTCTGAATGCTACTACTATTCTATTCTATTCTACTCATGGAGATGCTGATATTTTTTATTCTATACTTTTTATGAAGTATTTACTTACATTTTATTATTGACTTGGACGAAACACACCCATCTCACAAAGACTACTATTTTCCAGTTTCCGCCTACAAAGCGGAAACTCGAGAAGCGAATGATAATGCGCAGTCTGCAATAGAAATACTCTAAGCTCTGAGCCAGTCATACGTCAGGTACTTCGAAAAACGTAGTTTGGTTCATTGTTTTGTAGGGTAGCTCTGAGAATGGGATAGACAGATTGTTTGATATCCAGGGCAGCGAGGATGCTGAAGATCCCATGCAGAGGGGATTTATGCCCACCGCCCCGGGAGAGTGAGGACTGAGCCTTTTTCCTTAATTATTCCTCCCTCTACTGAATAATTTCTTTCGAACTGTCGTGTCCGCAATAAAGCATCTTTTGGGCTAAACTAGCCTTGTTCATTGCACACACACCTGCAACGGTTTGAGGTACCTGGCGTTTGAGTGTGTCGAAGTTTCCAGTATTTATCATCGACTATGCCTACCACAGACTACGCGTTACGGTGCACCAGGCTCCCCGTTCATAATGTTCGTCAGCAATCTCCCCTCCGTAAGATCGCCTGGAAAAAGGGGCGGATCGCGTGTATCGGTAGTGTGTGCGCGGATGATCCCCTCGGAGAGCTGCATGGCTGCGGCCGTGAATAACGTTGCTGAAGGAAAAGGGCTCTTGCGCCTCGACTGCGGTGAACCCGCATTAATACAACAAGTTCAATAGAAAAGCACGTTCATCCAATTAGTCCAGACAATCCGAACACAGTTACAATTTAGTTCTT